GAGTTCGCTCTTGTTACCCAGGCTGGAGTGCAATGGCGCGATCTCGGCTCACCGCAACCTCCGCCTCCTGGGTTCAGGCAATTCTCCTGCCTCAGCCTCCTGAGTAGCTGGGATTACAGGCACGCGCCACCATGCCCAGCTAATTTTTTGTAGTTTTAGTAGAGACGGGGTTTCACCGTGTTGACCAGGATGGTCTCGATCTCTTGACCTCGTGATCCACCCGCCTCGGCCTCCCAAAGTGCTGGGATTACAGGCTTGAGCCACCGCGCCCGGCCAAGTAGTAATTTCTTATAAGTTAGTTGCACGAAGGCAGGACGATTGCTTGAGGCCAGGAGTTTGAGACCAGCCTGGGTAATATAACAAAACTGCATCTCTAGAAAAAAACAAAAAATTAGTCAGGCATGGTTGTGCGTACCTATAGTCCTAGCTACTTAAGAAGCTGAGGAAGGAGGATTGCTTGAGCCCAGGAGTTCGAGGTTTCAGTGAGCTATGATCGTAGCACCAGACTCCAGGCTGGGCAACAGGGAAAGACCCTGTCTCAAAAAAAAAAAAAAAGCTATGATGAAGAATTTGAAACCACATCAGTGAATTTTTGTATTCTGTAAACTTAAAACCCATTGGTCTTTCACTTTGAATTGTTTTACTTGTGCATGATTTCATAACATCAAACATTGGTCATTTGGAAAGTATTGGTTCATCAGATTGTATAGATCATCTAAATATTGATGCATTTTATTATACATTATCAAAAAATCACATTCATTAATATTACCACTTATTTCATCAAAAAAGTCTTTTTTTTTTTTTTTGAGACAAAGTTTTGCTCTGTCACCAGGCTGGAGTACCTGTCACCAGGCTGGAGTACAGTGGCACAATCTCTGCCCACTGCAACCTCCGCCTCTTGGGTTCAAGCAATTCTCCTGCCTCAGCCTCCCCAGTAGCTGGGACTACAGGCATGCGCCACCACACCCAGCTAATTTTTGTATTTTTAGTAGATAACAGGATTTCATCATGTTGGCCAGGACAGTCTCATCTCTTGACCTTGTGATCTACCCACCTTGGCCTCCCAAAGTGCTGGGATTACAGGCATGAGCCATTGTACCCAGCTCCAGAAAAGTCTTAATTAATGGTAAGTTATCAAGTTGATAGTGGTGATTATAGATTTTCCAAGATGCCAGTTCTTGCTTGAAGGCTCAAATTGTAACTGATAATTGGCAGTAAATACTGTCAGTTGGCTCAGCGCAGTAGCTCATGCCTGTAATCCCAGCACTTTGGGAGGCCGAGGCAGGCAGATCACCTGAGGTCGGGAGTTCGAGAACTGCCTGAACCACCTGACCAACATGACGAAACCCCGTCTCTACTAAAAATACAAAATTAGGCCGGGCACGGTGGCTCAAGCCTGTAATCCCAGCTACTGAGGAGGTTGAGGCAGGAGAATTGCCTGAACCCAGGAGTTGGAGGTTGTGGTGAGCCGAGATCACGCCATTGCACTCCAGCCTGGGTAACAAGAGTGAAACTCCGTCTCAAAAAAAAAAAAAAATACAAAATTAGCCAGGCCTCATAGACTCTGAAAGGGCATCAGGGACCATCAAGGGTCCATAAACCATACTTTTTGAACTACTGTCCTAAGCATATCAGTGTTTGATCAGTAAAGGCTATTCTTAAATTTTTTCTTTTCTTCTTTTTTTTTTTTCTACTCTTTTTTTGAGACAAGATCTGGCTCTATCGCCCAGGGTAGAGTGCAGTGGTACAGTCTCAGCTCACTGCAGCCTCTACCTCCTGGGCGCAAGTTATCCTCCCACCTTAGCCTCTTGAGTAGCCGAGACTATAGGCATGCACCACAATGTCCAGCTAATTTTTTTTTTTTTTGAGATGGAGTCTCACTTTGTTGCCCAGTCTGGAGGGCAGTGGCGCGATCTTGACCCTCTGCAACCTCCACCTCCCAGGTACAAGTGACTGTCCTACCTCAGCCTCCCAAGTAGCTGGGACTACATGCATGTGCTACCATGCCTGGCTAATTTTTGTGGTTTTTTTTTTTTTTTTTGAGACGGAGTTTCACTCATGCTACCCAGGCTAGAGTGCAATGGCGCGATCTCGGCTCACCACAACCTCCGCCTCCTGGGTTCAGGCAATTCTCCTGCCTCAGCCTCCTGAGTCGCTGGGATTACAGGCACGCGCCACCATGCCCAGCTAACTTTTTGTATTTTAGTAGAGACGGGGTTTCACCATTTTGACCAGGATGGTCTCGATCTCTTGACCTCGTGATCCACCCGCCTCGGCCTCCCAAAGTGCTGGGATTACAGGCTTGAGCCACTGCGCCCGGCCCTAATTTTTGTGTTTTTAATGGAAATGGGGTTTCACTATGTTGGCCAGGCTGATCTCAAACTCCTGACCTCAGGTGATCCACCTGCTTCAGCCTCCCAAAGGGCTGAGATTACAGGCATGAGCCACTGTGCCTGGCCAATTTTTGTATTTTTTGTGAGACAGTTTCACCATATTGCCCGTCTGGTCTCAAACTTGTGAGCTCTAGTGATCCTTCTGCCTTGACTTCCCAAAGTGCTGGGATTATAGTCCCAAGCCACTGCACCCCGCTTGGTCTCCTTAAATTTTAAGCATGATTATATCATTACACCATAGTCAGAAGATAAAAACAAGATTAAGATGCAGTTTGGGCCGGGTGTGGTAGCTCATGCCTATTAATTCCAGCACTTTGGGAGGCCAAGGGAGGTGGATCGCTTCAGATCAGGAGTTACAGACCAGCTGGCCAATGTGAATGTGGTGAAAACCCATCTCTACTAAAAATACAAAAATTAGCCGGGCATAGTGGTGGGTGTCAGTAACCCCAGCTACTCAGGAGGCTGAGGCAGGAGACTCGCTTGAACCTGGGAGGCCAAGGCTGCAGTGAGCTGAGATCGTGCCACTACACTCCAGCCTAGGCAATAGAGCGAAACTGAGTCTCAAAAAAAAAAAAGAGAGAGATGCAGTTTGATTTGGAAACCTTGATGTGTCCTGTTTCATTGTGGCATCCAAAGACCTACAAACCTCTGCAGACAGCAGTTAGTCGCTAAAAAGGGCTCTCATAATTTCTGTCAAACAGTAGTTTCACAGGTGGGCATCCATCTTGCTCCCTTCCTGGAAATCAGAGTGTATGTTCTATTATTTTGTATTATGTTCCTTAAAATAATATTGTACCCTTCTTCATTTCAAGGGAACAAAATGGTGTTTTATCGATTCCTTAAACTAGAAAGGTGGTAGTGTGTTGCAGATATTTCCAGAGTATTTTTCTGGGGATTGAGAGTGATAGAACTATATATTAGGGCTTGAAACATTCCCAAATATTTTTTTGTTTGTGTTAGATGAGGTAGAAAGGAAGTGACCTACCAGACAGTTCATTTGAGATGTATCTTATATACATTCAAATATAAAAGGTCTGCAGAAAATGTATTGGCAGCTTTCCTTAAGTTTGAGTTATAGCTACCTGAAAACTTTTATTCCTATGCATAAAGATGTCTTTGGTGGACTTGGGAAAGAGGTTGCTAGAAGCAGCAAGAAAAGGCCAAGATGATGAAGTGAGAACATTGATGGCAAATGGCGCCCCATTCACCACGGACTGGGTAAGCTTAGAAGAAAGGCCTCTTAATTATTTCCAATATATGCTTTTACCAACCTTTTTCTTAAAGGCTAACAGACTTTATTGGTTTTTCTTCACTCCCTTTCTACCTCATATCCCTTACTAGAGTTTTATTTTCTTTGTCTCATCTGAATATGTGGTTTTCTTTTTCTTTTAGTTTTCCAAATTGAGAGTATCCTGTGCATATATAGGTGATGATTGTAAGGTATTATATACTTGTGATTTTCTGTAATGTTTTTTAGAGTATTTTCTAAAGGTTTAACTCTCTCTAGAGTGTACTTGGGTTATAGGCTTCTGTAATTAGCTAGAAATTAAATAAAATCAATATAATAAGAATGCATTTCTAGACTAATAAACTCCTTGTTTCCTTTTCTCTAATATGCCTTGGTTAATAAGAAATTGTCTAGGCTGGGCACAGTGGCTCACACCTGTGATCCCAGTACTTCAGGAGGCCGAGGTTGGTGGATCACCTGAGGTCAAGAGTTTGAGACCAGCCTGGCTAACATGGTGAAACCCCGTTCCTACTAAAAATACAAAAAATTAGCCAGGTGTGGTGGCGTGAGCCTGTAATTCCAGCTACTTGAGAGGCTGAGGCAGGAGAATTGCTTGAACCCTGCAGGCAGAGGTTGCAGTGAGCCGAGATCACACCATTGCACTCCAGCTTGGGCAGCAAGAGCAAAACTTCGCCTCAAAGACAGAAAAGAAATCATCTAGCTGTTCTGTTTCCTTTACCACTGTTAAAAAACATTAAAGAGGAAGGTGTAATTTAATGAGCCAGGCAACATCCTGGAGACCAAAGAGTTTCAGAAGAAACAGAGCCAAGTTATAATGTGGGCTTTCTTAGCAGTCACAGATTTTGTACACATTGCCTAATTTTAACAATTTCAGTCTATTCTGGAGTGATTGAGAGGCCAACAGATTCTTAGCACTTAACAAAAAGAAAGAAAAGGAAACTCATGAAATTACCATTTCTATAAATAGACCTGGAAAGAACAATGTGAATTAAATTCAGTCAAGCCGAGAGGCTGAATATATGAAAAGCAAAGAATAAACTGAACAGGCTTAAAATTAAGAGCATAACAAAAAAAAGGGAATAGATATCTGGCCAAAGTGGATGCTGATAGATAACTCTTACAAGATTTACACTGGGATGACAGACTTAATTATTCCTGTTGATACACCATTGTTAAATTTTTATTGCCTCTTCATCTCATCATTCGTTTTGCCCTGCTTTACTGTGGCAAAAAACTTTTCTTCCAGTCAGTCAAATTTGTACCTCAAATTCCACATGTAACTTTCCAGTCTCTACCCTTTTTATTTTTTAAAATTTACTTTATTGCCAGGTTTGGTGGCTCATGCCTATAGTCCCAGCTAATTGGAAGGCTGAGGTGGGAGGATCGCTTAAGCCCAGGAGTTCTGGGCTGTTGTAGTGCGCTCTGCCGATCAGGTGCCCGCACTAAGTTCGGCATCAATACGGTGACCTCCCGGGAGCGGGGGGTGGGGGGGACCACCAGGTTGCCTAAGGAGGGGTGAACCGACCCAGGTTGGAAATGGAGCAGGTCAAAACTCCCATGCTGATCAGTAGTGGAATCGCGCCTGTGAATAGCCACTGCACTACAGCCTGGGCAACATATTGAGACACCGTCACTAAAAAAAGAAAAAAAAATTATTTTATTTATTTTGAGATAAGGTCTCTCTATGCTGCCCAGGCTGGTCTTGAACTCTTGGGCTCAAGCAATCCTCCTGCCTTGGCCTCCCAAAGTGCTGTGATTGCAGGCATGGGCCACCACATCCACCCTGATCCTTTTTTTTATTTTCAACCTTCCAAATGCTGCTTAAAGTCACATCGTTTAGGGAATCTTACCTGATAAATCCACCTGACTTAAAGCCATTACACTTAGCACTTATTCAACTGGTGGTATATTTATTTGACCATTAGCATATTGATTTTTTTTTTTTTTTTTTGAGATGGAGTTTCACTCTTTTGCCGAGGCTGGAGTGCAGTGGTGCAATCTCAGCTCACTACAACCTTCGCCTCCCAGGCTCAAAGCAATTCTCCCTGTGTCAGCCTTCCAAGTAGCTGGGATTACAGGCACCTATCACCATACCCAACTAGCTTTTTTTGTATTTTTTAGTAGAGATGGGGTTTCACTACGTTGGCTAGGTGGGTCTTGAACTCCTGACTGCGGGTGATCCGCCTGCCTCAGCCTCCCCAAGTGCTGGGATTACAGGTGTGAGCCACTGTGCCCGACTCCTGGCCTTTAATTTATATTTTTATTTATTTATTTATTTTTGAGACGGAGTTTCGCTCTTGTTGCCCAGGCTGGAGTGCAATGGCATGACCTCGGGTCACCCCAACCTCTGCCTCCTGGGTTCAAGCAATTATCCTGCCTCAGCCTCCCAAGTAGCTGGGATTACAGGCATGTGCCACTACGCTCGTCTAATTTTGGTTTCTCCATGTTGGTCAGGCTGGTCTCGAACTCCTGAACTCAGGTGATCCGCCCACCTCAGCCTCCCAAATTGCTGGCATTACAGGTGTGAGCCACCATGCCCAGCCTAAATTTTTTTTTTTTTTTTTTTTTTTTTGAGATGGAATTTTGATCTGTCGCCAGGCTGGAGTGCAATGGCACGATCTTGGCTCACTGCAACCTCTGCCTCCCGGGTTCAAGCAATTCTCCTGTCTCAGCCTCCTGAGTAGCTGGGATTACTGGTGCCCACCACCAGGCCCAGCCAATTTTTTGTATTTTTAGTAGAGATGGGGTTTCACCATGTTGGCCAGGCTGGTTTTGAACTCCTGACCTCATGTGATCCACCCGCCTTGGCCTCCCAAAGTTCTGGGATTACAGGCACGAGCCATTGCACCTGGCTAACTTTTAAATTTAACCATTTCTTCGGTTCATCTGCCAACCAGATTCTCTCTTGAAGGACAAGAACCATAGCTTGTTCATTTGTATCTCTCCAATAATGATTTAGGACTCTACACACAGTGGATATTCAGTGAGTATTATTTTCCCACAGCTTGGAACATCACCCCTTCACCTTGCAGCTCAGTATGGCCATTATTCCACAGCAGAAGTACTCCTTCGAGCAGGTGTTAGCAGGGATGCCCGGACTAAAGTGGACAGGACCCCCTTGCACATGGCTGCGGCTGATGGACATGCACACATCGTGGAACTGCTTGTTCGGGTAAAGCAAGAATACTGGCAAGGTTATGTTTTAAAGAAGACATCCACCTTCCTGTTTTCTTACTTAAATGGGTGCTAGGAAACCAAGTTGGGAAGGATTAAGTTTAGGAAAGTTTATAGAATTGAGTTGAGTCTCCAAGAGTCTTCATCGCTGTGAGGACTCTGTTTTCTTATTTATTTATTTATTGAGACAGAGTCTTGCTCTTGTCACTCAGGCAGGAGTGCAGTGGCGTGATCTCTGCTCACCACAACTGCCGCCTCCTGGGTTCAAGTGATTCTCCTGTCTCAGTCTCCCGAGTAGCTGGGATTACAGACACCAACCATTACACCGAGCTAACATTTGTATTTTTAGTAGAGACAGGGTTTCACCATATTGCCCAGACTTGTCTTGAACTCCTGACCTCAGGTGATCCACCCACCTCGGCCTCCCAAAGTGCTGGGATTACAGGTGTGAACCACTGTGCCTGGCTATTTTCTAATTTATTAAAACCCTTTTTTTTTTTTTTTTTTTTTTTTTTGTGGGACGGAGTTTCGCTCTTGTTACCCAGGCTGGAGTGCAATGGCGCGATCTCGGCTCACCGCAACCTCCGCCTCCTGGGTTCAGGCAATTCTCCTGCCTCAGCTTCCTGAGTAGCTGGGATTACAGGCACGCACCACCATGCCCAGCTAATTTTTTGTATTTTTAGTAGAGACGGGGTTTCACCGTGTTGACCAAGATGGTCTCGATCTCTTGACCTCGTGATCCGCCCGCCTCGGCCTCCCAAAGTGCTGGGATTACAGGCTTGAGCCACCGCGCCCGGCCCTTTTTTTTTTTTTTAAGACAAAGTATTGCACTGTCTTCCAGGCTGCAGTGTAGTAGCGTGATTTTGGCTCATTGCGACTTCCGCATCCCTGGTTCAGGCTATCCTCTTGCTTCAGCTTCCCAAGTAGCTGAGATTATAGGCGCCTGCCGCCACGCCTGACTAATTTTTTTGCATTTTTAGTAGAGACAGGGTTTCACTATATTGGCCAGGCTTCTGACATCGTGATCCACTCACCTCAGTCTCGCAAAGTGCGGGGATTACAGGTTTGAGCCACTGCGCCCAGCCCTAAGACAATTTTTTAAAAATTTGAGATGGGCTCACTCTGTTGCCCAGGCTAGAGAGCAGTGGCATGTTCATAGCTCGCCGCAGCTTTCAACACCTGGGTTCAAGCAATTCTACTGCCCCAGCCTCCCAGATGGCTAGGACTATAGGCATGCACCACCATGCCCAGCTAATATATTTTTATTTTTTGTAAAGAATAGGGTCTAATTGTATTGCCCAGTTCAGGCTGGCTTTGAACTCCTGGCCTCAAGCAATTCTCCTACCTCAGCCTCCCAAAGCACTGAGATTACAGGTGTGGGGTTACTGTGCCTAGCCAGTTTTCTAATTTTCTTGAAATCATATTTTTTTTTTTAAATAAAGATGAAGTCTCACTATGTTGACTGGGCTGATCTTAAACTTTTGGCTTCAAGTGATCCCTCCATCCTTGGCCTTCCAAAGTGCTGGGATTATAGGCATGAGCCATTGTGCCCAGCCTAGTTTTCCAACTTATTATTATTATTATTATTTTGGAGATGGGGATTTTACCCTATCGCCCAGGCTGGAGTGCAGTGGTGCAATGTCAGCTCACTGCAATCTCCACCTCCCAGGCTCAAGAGATCCTCTCACCTCAGCCTCCCCAGTAGCTGGGACCACAGGCACATACTACCATACCTGGCTAATGTTTTGAATTTTTTGTGGAGATGGGGTTTCACCCTGTTGCCCAGGCTTGTCTCAAACTCTTGAGCTGAAGCTTTTCTAATTTTTTAAAGCCTAAACAGACTTATTTTTCTTCTTTCCCTTTCCGAAGATATTATCTGCACTTATGCCTATTTTTTCAGGCACTTGGCTTTCTGTTAATAATGCAACAAAATCTGTTCTTCCTCTCTTCCTCTTCCATCTGTCTAATTTCTCAGCATCCTTAGAGGACCCATGCATTGAAACCCACTCGTCTGTCAGCAGTTAGGAGAATTTGAGAAATGTTTTTCCCTTTGATATTCCTTAAATGGGATCTAGATTTGAGTATGTAATCTCTATGGAAATCCTCTGTATTTGATGATGGGATGTTGCACCTGTGCTACTATAACCACTGTGTATTAAAAAAAAAAAAATGCTTTTCTGTGACAGAATGGTGCAGATGTGAATGCCAAGGACATGCTGAAGATGACAGCTTTGCACTGGGCCACAGAGCGCCACCATCGAGATGTCGTAGAGTTACTTATCAAATATGGAGCTGATGTCCATGCTTTCAGCAAATTTGATAAATCTGCCTTTGACATAGCTCTGGAGAAAAACAGTGCTGAGATTTTGGTCATCCTCCAGGTGTGGTTCTTTTTATACTCTTTTATACTCTCCAGCTTATACTTCAATTGAAGTTAAGGATTTTTTTTGTAGGAATTGAATCAAAACTTAATTTTTCCTATCTTCTTAAAATAGTACTTCTAATATGTCTCAATCTTGTGATTCAGTGTCATTAGTATCTTTAAAATACACGTGTATGCCAGGCACAGTAGCACATGCCTGTAATCCCAGCACTTTGGGAGGCCAAGGCAGGTGGATCATGAGGTCAGGAGTTCGAGACCAGCTTGACCAACATAGTGAAACCTCACCTCTACTAAAAATACAAAAAATTAGTTGGATGTGGTGGCTCATGCCTGTAATCGCAGCTACTTGGGAGGCTGAGGCAAGAGAATTGCCTGAACCCAGGAGGCGGAGGTTGCAGTGAGCTACGATTGCACCACTGCACACCATCCCCAGCGACGATGTGAGACTCTGTCTCAGAAAAAAAAAAAAGAGGAAGAAAAGGCCAGGCGAGGCGGCTCACGCCTGTAATCCCAGTACTTTGAGAGGCCAAGGCAGGCGGATCACCTGAGGTTGAGAATTCTAGACCAGCCTAACATGGAGAAACCCCATCTCTACTAAAAATACACAAATTAGCTGGGCATGGTGGTACATGCCTGTAATCCCAGCTACTTGGGAGGCTGAGGCAGGAGAATCACTTGAACCTGGGAGGTGGATATTGCAGTTAGCCGAAATCACACCATTGCACTCCAGCCTGGCCAACAAGAGCGAGACGCCGTCTCAAAAAAAAAGACAGAACAAAAGCAAAAAAAATACATATATACGTGTGTGTGTGTATATATATATATATATTCTATAAAGTCCTGAATTATTCATGGTGATTAAAGACCTATGTTGTGGCTAGTACTAAAAATGTTTACTTGTCTTTAGAATGTTTTTTTCTCCATGAAAATTTCCTTTTCTAATTAAACTTGACTTGGGACAATATTAAAAGCTACTCTATGTTTTCTGAATATTCATCAACTGATGTGAGACAGTATATAGATGCTCCCTGATAGGATTACATTGGATGCAGATGTAACCCCATAATAAGTCAGATCACTTTCACACCATGGCAAAGCTGGAAAACTGTTGAACCCCTTTATAAATTGGGGACCATCTATGAAGCTCTAAAGCATATTGAGTGACAAGGAAACCACTTCAGAATTTAAAATTAACTGTAATGATTTTGTCCTGTTTTGTTTTGTTTTGTTTTTTGTGTGGCAGAGTCTCACTCTTTTGCCCAGCTTGGAGTACAGTGGCATGATCTCAACTCACTGCAGCCTTGATTTCCTGGGTTCAAGGGATTCTTCCACCTTAGCCTCCCAAGCAGCTGGGACAACAGGTGCACACCACCATGCCCAGCTTATTATTATTATTATTATTATTTTTGAGATGGAGGCTTGCTTTGTTGCCCAGGCTGGAGTGCAGTGGCAAGATCTTGACTTAGGGCAACCTCTGCGTCCTGGGTTTAAGCGATTCTCCTGTGTCAGCCTCCCGAGTAGCTTGGACTACAGGCTCATGCCACCATACCCAGCTAAGTTTTGTATTCTTAGTAGAGACAGGGTCTCACTATGTTGGCCAGACTGGTCTCAAACTCCTGACCTCATGATCTGTCTGCCTCAGCCTCCCAAAGTGCTGAGATTACAGGTGCATACCACTGTGCCTGGCCTGTCCATTAATTTCTTAAAACAGGGAACAATAGGACAGGGAATATAAAAATTAATAGGACATGGGCCAGGCGCGGTGGCTCACACCTATAATCCCAGCACTTTGGGAGGCCGAGGCAGGTGGATCACCTGAGGTCAGCAGTTGGACCAGCCTGTCCAATATGGTGAAACCCTGTCTCTACTAAAACTACAAAAACAATTAGCCAGGCATGGTGGCACGCACTTGTAATCCCAGCTACTCAGGAAGCTGAGGCAGGAGAGTCACTTGAACCTGGAGGCAGAGATTACGGTGAGCTGAGATGACACCATTGCACTCCAGCATGGCAGACAAGAGCGAGACTGAGTGTTTAAAAAAAAAAAAAAGGGACATGAAGTGTTCACAGCACGATAAAAGTTAAGACAGGAAATAAAATATTTAACTGCATGTTAAATAGACAACTTATAAGTGCTATGGGAGCACAAAGAAGGGAATAGTAGAATTTGAACTGAATATTGAAGTAGGCAGAGAAGTGAGAAAACCGTATTCTAGGCTAGAAAAAGAGCAAATCAAAGACACGTGTGAAAGAACGTGGAATGTTCAAGAAAAAGCAGTTGAGTGATGAGAGAATGGGCAAAGGAAGTAGAGTTTGGGAGTGGCAGATGCTAAGCTTGAAAGTTAGGCTGGATTCTGAACATAGAGGTGTTACACAGCATGCGCAGGTGTTTGAATTGTCATGTGGGTGATGGATTTGGATAGAAGTTTTTAAATAGAGGACTGATATGATTAAATTTATTATAAAAAGATGATTCTGGCCGGGCGTGGTGGCTCACGCCTGTAATCCTAGCACTTTGGGAGGCTGAGGTGGGTGGATCACCCGAGGTCAGGAGTTCAAGACCAGCCTGGCCATCATGGTGAAACCCCATCTTTATTAAAAAAAAAAAAAAAGATTATTCTTTGGAGTGTGGCACACAGATAAGAGAAAGAAGACACTTAATGCTAAATAACTATATGGTGACTTTCATTAGGCCAGGCAAGAGCCAATAAGGACTTGAATTAAGGAAGTGCTTTTTTGTCATGTAGCAATACTACTCGTCCCTCCTCTGTGCTTCCATGGCCCTTACAGGATGTCTGTCATGTAATATTATAATATTTTTTTCTTATCTTTAATTTTATCATGCTATAAACATTTCATGTCCTAGTAGAGGATAAAGGGGAAAAGGGCAAATTCAAGAAGGAATTTAGGCCAGGTGTCGTGGCTCACACCTGTAATCCCAGCACTTTGGGAGGCTGAGGCAGGTGGACTGCCTGAGCTCAAGAGTTCAAGACCAGCCTTGGCAACACGGTGAAACCCCATCTCTACTAAAATACAAAAGAAATTAACCAGGTGTGGCAGTGTGCACCTGTAGTCCCAGCTACATGGGAGGCTGAGTCAGGAGAATTGCTTGAACCTGGGAGGCGTAGGTTACAGTGAGCCAAGATCGCACCACTGCACTCCAGCCTGGGTGACAGAACGAGACTCTGCCTCTACAAAAAAAAAAAAAGAAAGAAAGAAAAAAGTAGCTATTTCTGCTTCATTTTCAGTTTTATTTGTTCGTTTTTTGGTTTTTGACAGATGGCCTATAGACTGTAGTTAGCCCCTTCAACTTTCAACTCTTTGTTTAGAGCTCTTTCATAACTGGACTTTTTTTTTTTTTTTTTTATAGAAAGTGATTTATTTAGAGAGAGAGAAAAACAGGAGGAGAGAGAAATAAACAGCTGACCCTCACACTGAGTGAGAGAATCCAGAAATATGGAATCCAGGAGAGGAAAGCAGCTTCCACACTGAGTGGAAGGGAATAGAGAAAGATGGAGTTTAGGAGGAGAAGACCAGCTTCCACCCACGACAGGAGTGTTCGTGGAAGAGGACTCCAGAGGGGAAATCCAGGATAGAGAAAAACAGCTTCCATGAGCACAAGAGTGTTCCTGGAAGGGGATCCAAACATGGAGTCCCCATAACTGGACTTTTTAAAGTAGTCATTATGTTTGTAGAAAACTGCTTCTGCAAGTAATAAAATAAAGATAAGCTACTTTTCACCAAAATTGAACAGCTATCTCTGGAAGCAAAAGTACAGCATATGGAGTGAGACTTTAAAATCTGGCACTTATTTATTTGCTTGTTATATATTCTCTTAGGAATTTCTTTGGTAGCAGAATGGAACAAGTAGTTGGATAAAACTCTAGAGAATATTGTTCTCTGTAGATACTCTGCAGGGATCTCTTGCTAGCACACTGACTTGTAGATAATTAATCACAAAATATTAGTGTTGGAAATTACTTTTTGGACTATTCAAGCCAACTCCCTCATTTTTCTTTTTTATTTTCTTTCTTTTTTTTTAAATGGGCTTTCACCATGTTGGCCAGGCTGGTCTTGAACTCCTGACCTCAGGTGATCCGCCCGCCTCGGCCTCTCAAAGTGCTGAGATTGTAGGCGTGAGCCACTGCCCCCAGCCTTCTTTTTTTTTTTTCTTTTGAGACGGAGTCTTGTTCTGTCACGCAGGCTGGAGTGCAGTAGCGTTATCTCGGCTCACTGCAACCTCCACCTCCCAGGTTCAAGCAGTTCTCCTGCCTGAGCCTCCCAAGCAGCTGGGATTACAGGCGCCCCCCACCATACCCAGCTGATACTCTTTTCTTTTTTTTTGAGGTAGAGTCTCACTTTGTCTCCCAGGCTGGAGTGCAATATCACGATCTCAGCTCACTGCAACCTCCGCCCATCCCCAGGTTCAAGCAATTCTCTTGCCTCAGCCTCCTGATTAGCTGGGATTCTAGGCGCCTGCCACCGTGCCGGGCTAATTTTTGTATTTAGTAGAGATGGGGATTCACTATGTTGGCCAGGCTGGTCTCGAACTCCTGACCTCAAGTTATCCACCTGCCTCAGCCTCCCAAAGTGCTGGGATTACAGGTGTTAGCCACTGCACCTGGCACAACTCCCTCATTTTTCAAATGAAAAAACCAAGATCCAAGAGGTTAAGTGAATTGTCTAGAAGTTTTTGCAAATAATATACCTTTGCTTTCTACTACCTTTGCTTTCCTGAAGTAGAACAAGCTTTGAAAGAAGCCTAACAACTCTGTTGGCCTGGTCTGAAAAAAAAAATAGTAGTCTTTTCTTGGCTCACAACAACCTCTGCCTCCCAGGTTCAAGTGATTCTCCAGTCTTAGCCTCCCAAGTAGCTGGGATTATAGGTATGCGCCACCATGCCCAGCTAATTTTGTATTTTTAATAGAAATGGGGTTTCTCCATGTTGGTCAGGCTAGTCTTGAACTCCCAACCTCAGGAGATCCGCCTGCCTCAGCCTCCCAAAGTGCTGGAATCACAGGCATGAGTCACCATGCCCGGCTAAAAATGGTAGTATTTTTTTTTTTTTTTTTTTTTTTGAGACGATGTCTCATTCTGTTGCCCAAGCTGGCGTGCAGTGGCATGATCTTGGCTCACTGCAACCTCCACCTCCTGGATTCAAGCGATTCTCCAGCTTCAGCCTCCGGAGTAGCTGGGACTACAGGTGTGCACCACCACACCCAGCTAATTTTTTGTATTTTTAGTAGAGACAGGATTTCACCATGTTGGCCAGGCTGGTCTTGAACTCTTGACCTCATGATCTAACCACCTCAGCCTTCTAAAGTGCTGGGATTACAGGCGTGAGCCACCACACCCAGCCCTAAAAATGGTAGTCTTAATGAGAACTCTGAGCTCCCTGGGACACTGTATGTAGGAAGTAGTTCTGCTTGATGGAGCATTGGGGTGGGAGTGAAGTATGCTGTTCAGTAACTGTGTAACTAAAGCTAATAAGTGTTGTTGGGCTGGGCACGGTGGCTCATGCCTGTAATGCCAGCACTTTGGGAGGCCAAGGTGGGTAGATCGCCTGAGCTTAGGGGTTTGAGACCAGGCTGGGCAACATGGCAAAACCCCATCTCTACTAAAAATACAAAAAATTAGCTGGGTGTGGTGGCACACGCCTGTAATCGCAGCTACTCGGGAGGCTGAGGCATGAGAATTGTTTGAACCCAGGAGGCAGAGGTTGCAGTGAGCTGAGATCACGCCACTGCACTCCGGCCTGGGCCACTGAGTGAGACTCTGTTTTAAAAAAATAAAATAAGCCGGACATGGTGGCACGTGCCTGTAGTCCCAGCTATTTGGGAGGCTGAGGCTGGAGGATCTCTTGAGTCCAGGAGTTCTGGGCTATAGTGCGCTATGCCAGTCGCGTGTCCGCACTAAGTTCGGCATCAATATGGTGACTTCCCGGGAGTGGGGGACCACCAGGTTGCCTAAGGAGGGGTGAACCAGCCCAGGTTGGAAACGGAGCAGGTCAAAACTCCCGTGCTGATCAGTAGTGGGATCGTGCCTGTGAATAGCCACTGCATTCCAGCCTGGGCAACATAGCGAAACCCTGTCTCTTTTAAAATAAATAAATAAAAGAAAAAAAATAAAAGAAAAAAGCTAATAAGTATTCTGATTTTGAAATAACCTGCCTTGTTTGGTAGGAAGCAATGCAGAATCAGGTGAATGCTAATCCAGAGAGAGCCAACCTTGTGACTAATCCTGTGACTATGGCTGCTCCATTCATCTTCACGTCGGGAGAGGTTGTTAACCTTGCTAGCCTTGTGTCTTCAACCAACAGCAAAACATCTTCAGGTAATGTTCCGATGACATGACATTTATTTTAGACTCAAAAATGCACAGAACCCTAGATTTTCCTAGAAATGAATGGATACCCTGTCTAATATCCATTCCCTAATTAAAATGTGCCCAAAGCAGAAGATTTGTAATAGATTTCAAAGCAAAGGTACTTATTCTTTCTGGGGAAGGGAAGATCATATGTTGGGATTATAAAGGAATATTTACTGTGTTAAAAGTAAAATATTCTGGCCTGGCACAGTGGCTCATATCTGTAATCCCCGTGCTTTGGGAGGCCAAGGTAGGAGGATTGCTTGAGGTCACCCTGGACTGGGCAACATGGCAAGACCCCATCCTCTACTAAAAATAAATTAGGTGAGGGCCGGGCATGGTGGCTCATGCCTGTAATCCCAGCACTTTGGGAGGCCGAGGCGGGTGGATGACGAGGTCAAGAGATCGAGACCGTCCTGGTCAACATGGTGAAACCCCGTCTCTACTAAAAATACAAAAATTCAGCTGGGCATGGTGGCGTGTGCCTGTAATCCCAGCTACTCAGGAGGCTGAGGCAGGAGAATTGCCTGAACCCAGGAGGTGGAGGTTGCAGTGAGCCGAGATCGCGCCATTGCACTCCAGCCTGGGTAACAAGAGTGAAACTCCGTCTCAAAAATAAATTAATAAATAAGTAAATTAGGTGGGCATGGTGATGCATACATGTAGTCTCAGCTACTAGGGAGACTAACATGGGAGTATCTCATGAGCTCCGGAGTTGGACTTACTGTGAGCTATGATTGTGCCACTGTACTCCAGCATGGGTGACAGAGCAAGACCCTGTCTCAAAAAAAAAAAAAAAAGAAAAAAATAGTAGGGTTATACCTACTTACAAAAATAAAAAATTAAAGGTGCTTCAATATGGTACAGATAAGGAGAATAACCATTAATAGTTTAAAGCAGTAACAAAGCAGAATAAACATAAGTAGCTTTTGGGGTACTGATATAAAAGAGATAAATGTGATTATCTGAATAAAGTATAAGAGTCTGGATTTGTTCTTGAGTGCATATATAAAAAGAAAATAGCAGAGAAAAGTACTTGTTGTTGATCTTTTGAGACCTGTATGTTTTCAACAGAAACTTCTATCTAAGAAAGAATGAATGATTTATTTTCAGCATCTCCTTTTACAAATATTTGTTTTACCATGAAATAACTTGTGTCCTCATTTAAATAAATTTTCCAATTGATTATTGTTTTTTTTCTGTTTCTGACTTTTATTTGAAAACAACAGTATTCTTAGTTAAGTTTGTATAATATCAAAGGAAAGATCTTGACTAAGCTATTGTTATTGAGAGGTAGAGTGATAAAAGAGAAGAAGCAATGTATGTAATATACACAGAATTTTAGAATTGTGTTCAAATAATTATTGGTTCACTAGCTACTTGACCTTAGGAAAACTACATACTTCTCTATGCCTTGTTTACTTATCTGTAAAACTGGGATATAATAATGTCTACTTTATGAGGTTGTTGTGAGAGTTTAAGATTTTGTATTTCAGGGTCCATTTTGTAGCAGGGCTTCAATAATAGCTATTAAATGAAAACATAATTTCTTAGCAAAGTTTCACCCTGACATGCCCACAAGGGGGCAATAGTGATCTTCATTGTATAGGCTATCAACCGTTATTTAAAATAATTTTGCATTCTGGCTGGGTGCAGTGGCTCATGCCTGTAATCCCAGCACTTTGGGAGGCTGAGGTGGTTAGATCATGAGGTCAAGAGTTCAAGACCAGCCTGGCCAACATGGTGAAATCCTGTCTCTAAAAAGAAATTAAATAAATAAATTTGCATTCAGCTAGATGATACAAAAACTTTACATTAATTTTTTTTTTTTTTTTTTTGAGATGGAGTTTGGCTCTTGTTACCCAGGCTGGAGTGCAATGGCGCGATCTCGGCTCACCGCAACCTCCGCCTCCTGGGTTCAGGCAATTCTCCTACCTCAGCCCCTTGAGTAGCTGCAATTACAGGCACGCGTCACCATGCCCAGCTAATGTTTTGTATTTTTAGTAGAGACGGAGTTTCACCATGTTGACCAGGATGGTCTCGATCTCTTGACCTCATGATCCACCCGCCTCGGCCTCCCAAAGTGCTGGGATTACAGGCGTGAGCCACCGCGCCATTAAATTTATATATACATGTACTCAGAACATTCACAATCTTTTAGATTCATATTAGTTCAGTCACGCTGATTAAAACAACTGTTTTTATATTCTAAAAGCATTTTGTAGCCAATAAAGTTATATGCTCACAAACCTGTGAAAAGAGCAAGAGTTGGTCTTTAACTACTGAAATTCTCCAGATCCTGATGTGGAATGATAAGCAAAGTTAAACACATTCAGAATAGAGATTCTTTGCTTTGGTTCCCATGGGCCAATATAATGTTTGTCATGTAGCTTCTGGCAGACCTACCCAACTTTCCTCTTTATGTAGATAACTGCAATTTGAAATTGCTAAACTATCATATAATAGAGCTGACCTCCGCTTTATGCATAAGATGAATATCATCTTATGCATAAAGCAGTTCTACCTAGCTATCCCTCCTTAGCTGATAAGCCCACCCAGTGTTTAATCAGTGTAGATAAAGGAAAGGAGGACATTTATAAGACAAATTCAGGTCTTATAAATGTTAGTCAACTGGCTTAAAGGATATATATATATTTTCAGTTGGAGTCTCGCTCTGTTGCCCAGGCTGGAGTGCAGTGGCATGAACTCGGCTCACTGCAGCCTCCGTCTGACTCCCAGGTTCATGTAATTCTCCTGCCTCAGCCTCCCCACTAGCTGGGACTATAAGCACGTGCTGCCACGCCTGGCTTATTTTTGTGTTTTTAGTAGAGATGGGGTTTCACCATGTTGGCCAGGATGGTCTTGATCTCCTGACCTCGTGATCCGCCTGCCTCAGCCTCCCAAAGTGCTGCGATTACAGACGTGAGTTACCACGCTGTCCCCAAGGATATTCTTTTCTGAAATGGTGAGTGGGCTTCTTGTTTCCCATCATCCAATAATATTTTTAATGATTGAAGGAGCCTTCATTGTAGTGTATAGAATGCAGGCTGCCCCAATAAAAAAAAATTTTAAAGCCTTAGATTTATTTTAAGATTTTGTTTTTAGATTTAGATTTTTAAAAATATTTTTCAAAAGTTTTTTTTTGTTTTTGTTTTTGTTTTTGTTTCTGTTTTTGTTTGAGACAGAGTCTCACTCCATCACCCAGACTGGAGTGCAGTGGCATGATCTCAGCTCACTACAAGATCCAACCTCCACTTCTGGGGTTCAAGTGATTCTCATGCCTCAGCCTCCTGAGTAGCTGGGATTACAGGCCCATGCCCAGCTAATTTTTGTATTTTAAGTAGAGATGGGGGTTTCACCATGTTGTCCAGGGTGGTCTTGAACTCCTGACCTCAGGGGAACCACCGATCTCAGCCTGCCAAGTGCTGGGATTACAGGTGTGAGCCACTGCATCCAGCTGTTTTTTTTTAAGTAATAAAAATTATATACATATATGTAGTATTATATATTTATGTATTATATATATATTTATATAAAGAATTAACTGGCCAGGCACAGTGGCTCATGCCTGTAATCCCAGCACTTTAGGAGGCCGAGGCAGGTGGATTACGAGGTCAGGAGTTCAAGACCAGACTGGTCAACATGGTGAAATGTCGTCTTTACTAAAAAAAAAAAAAATTAGCTGGGCATGGTGGCTTGTGACTGTAATCCGATCTACTTGGGAGGCTGAGGTAGGAGAATCGCTTGAACTGGGACCCAGGAGGCAGAGGTTGCAGTGAGCCGAGATCATGCCACTGTTCTCCAGCCTGGGCTACAGAGCAAGACTCCATCTCAAAAAAAAAAAAAAAATTAACTGAAAGTATCACAGGATTATTTTAGTAGATATTTTTGATACCAAAATCTGGATTGCAAAGTTTGTTTTCAGATTTTCCATTCATGGCCAGGGATGGTGGGTCACACCTGTGATCCCAGCACATTGGGAAGCCAAGGCAGGCAGATTGCTGAGTTCAGGAATTCAAGACCAGCCTGGGCAACATGACAAAACCCTGTCTTTACAATAAATAGAAAAAATTAATGAGGCATGGTGGTATGGGCCTATAGACCCAGCTACTTGGGAGGCTGAAGCAGGAAGATCACTTGAGTCTGGGAGGCAGTGGTTGCAGTGAGCCAAGGTCATGTCAGTACATTGCAGCCTGGGTGACAGAGTAAGACTCTGTCTCCAAAAACCCAAAATTTCTATTTATGACTAAAGATATCAGTCATCGGGCCGGGCGCGGTGGCTCACGCCTGTAATCCCAGCACTTTGGGAGGCCGAGGCGGGTGGATCACGAGGTCAAGAGATCAAGACCATCCTGGTCAACACGGTGAAACCCCGTCTCTACTAAAAATACAAAAAATTAGCTGGGCATGGTGGCGCATGCCTGTAATCCCAGCTACTCAGGAGGCTGAGGCAGGAGAATTGCCTGAACCCAGGAGGCGGAGGTTGCAGTGAGCCGAGATCGCGCCACTGCACTCCAGCCTGGGTAACAATAGCGAAACTCCGTCTCAAAAAAAAAAAAAAAAAAAAAAAAAGATATCAGTCATCATCAGTGCCACCATCAAATTGCAAGGATTTGGGAAGGCGGACTAATCTAAACATTAATCAAGATAAAACAAAGTTACAAAGGTGAATTTCCTGTTTCTGCACAATCATGAGATGCACTCTAAATATAAATAGGCTGGGCGAGGTGGCTCACACCTGTAATCCCAGCACTTTGGAAGGCTCATGGATCACTTGACATCAGGGTTTGAGACCAGCCAGGCCAAAATGGTGAAACCCTGTCTCTACTAAAAATTCAAAAATTAGCCTGGCATGGTGGCACATGCCTGTAATCCCAGCTACTTGGAAGGCTGAGGCAGGAGAATCACTTAAAACCGAGAGGCTGAGGTTGCAGTGAGCCAAGATCACAGCTCTGCACTCCAGCCTG